CGCCTCATGTTTTAGTCGCTACGATATTTGAAATATCGCGATACATGTATATCTTTGTAATGTACTACTCATAAGGTTGCTGAAAATCCATCGACAGCCCACGACCGGTTTCGCCCTTTTTGGGGCTCATCAGGTAGGCACAGCTCCCGGGTTTCCGTCAACCTTATGTTCTACTTGAAACCAAATTGCACGAAATTAGCGAATATATACTCATTTGCAAACTAATTTGGTTCTTTCGAGAGACTCACCTGGAACCCAGCTGAATCTCCCGTTTTTGATGTTCTCAGGCAACTGGATGTGCTGCACCAGGCCGCCTCATGTTTTAGTCGCTACGATATTTGAAATATCGCGGCATACTCCAGCATACTCCTCGGCATACTCCACATCTTCAATGAATGGTGTTTTCCTACCAAACTTTTCCTGTTTTTCCACTATCGCAACATAAGTTGATAAATTGCAGCTGTCTCTGGTTATATTAACTAGGGATGGGTAGATATACCATGAGTTTCCAATTTATGGTTGAACGAAGAGTATACGTCACAGGGTTAAAAGCACATGCTGCATCATGTCACTTGGTAAAGTCAGAGCTCAGAATAAACAGATTTTCAAGCTCTCCATAGCTAATAAGCTGCAAAAGGCACTTTTGAATAATCGCATCCCAACTACTTTGTGTATCTACTAAATATATGGACGCAGCGTTCAACAATTTGTTGCTTTCGGCTATTGAGACTGTAGAATAACACTACTCACTTGAAGACAGGGAAGATATACTGTTATCCTGATTAAGGATAAGTTCCCTCTCGTTTGATATAGATAGTAGTTCATTGAGAATAGCTATCGACGGAATTTTTTTATCCATTCTTGTCCTTCATTGGCTCATACAAGAAGCCAAGCTTTTCAAGGTTGACGTCTTCAAAGTATCTTTCTTTCTCAGCTTTATCAGCAACCAGAAATATGCCAATGCATATTACGGCGCCGTCTACTGCTGAGTGAAATGCCCATAAAACTCAGCCACAGCTCACTAGAACGGGACGTCTTGAACAGAACCACTTGAGGGTACAGAGGCGCGGCACAATTCAGGTGGGAAAATCAGCGAATCAGACGGAGGGATTACGGTCACCTCCGGAGCGAGCTTGTCCACGCATGGACAGATATCACACCTGATTGATAGATTGCGCGCACTGTGTGAACCGAGTCGACAGAGTCAGTCTGGGCTAACAATTCAGGCCAATAATTACGTGTTGTTCTGGTCGTTGTTCTGTTCGCTGAGTTGAACGATTCCGTTGCGAACGTTTCGTCAGCAACCAAAGTGATATCACCAGTGCATAGTAAGTTGGCAGTGTCGTGCTGCATCGGCGTTTAGACGTTGAGTAGTGCTGTACTATTGCTTATCTGTCTAGTTGACCTGTCGAATCAACAGGTCAAAAGTTACATGGAATGAATTGAAGAGGTCAGATTCAAAAATGATCGGGAGGTCGACCAGTCAGGGAGCTAGCCAATCATCCAACAAATGAAACACGCCATCTGCCAGTTTGATTGATTTGTACGTAACTATTGGTGATGTAAAGCCTTTCTTACTAGGCTTCGGCTCATGATCTTTCTTCCTGTTTTCTACCCACGGAAATTGTTATGAACCCCAATTTTCGGAGATCCACTGTTCCCTGTTGCTTCCACAGCGTACATACTACACAGGCACAGATACAGCACTGCCCAATGCCTAAACATCGATCCACTATGACACACCGCTGACCCACTACGCACTAAGTAGCTGAGGATATGTTTGCACGCAAATTGTTCAGCTGGGCAAACAGAACAACGAATATCTATACAACCTAAGTTACCATTTTCCTATCCACAACATTCATAGTTCTCCCGAACAGCTACCAGGAAGACTTCTGTCGGGTCCAACACGAATCGACAAACGGTCTCGTTGAAGACGAAAGCACTTTATGGTGGACTCAACCAGTTGATCTCTTCCTCATCGCTGCAGGCTTCACAAAGAAACGGAAACCCTCATAGAGGACTCATATACTTTTGTTATACCTGATATTGAGCATAATGTCCAATTATTTATCGCGGAGTGGTAAAGAAGACGTTAGAATCGAATCTTTATGACTGCCTGGATTTGGTCTGCCATGTTAATAATATAACAATCACTGATCAACGAAATCCTCATTCATCTCAGACATTAGCGTCATCATTGAGACCAGTGTGTCAACTGCTTATCTGTTTTAGAAGAAAACCTGGCCTTTTAGCGATTAGCCTAGTTACTTTCTGCAAGTAAAGGACCATGACTGGTAGTTAAAGTGTTATCATGCATTCCTGAGAATAATGTGCACCACGTAGTTTTATCTCAGTACTTCTTCCGTATCTTACATTTAAGTTAGTACTTCCGTTCTGCTGACGTCACACTGCGATATGACCCAAAATGATCTCTGTCCTTCAGCCACTCATGTATCAGCGGTGGCTATCGTGCAGAGGGCACAGTTGTGCTCTTCCTTTGCTTCACATCTCAAAGACATTCTCAAGGCCAACTGAATGTTTCCTGTTTACGCATGTGAGGCTGTAGCACTTGTGGCGCATATCCGTGCTTGTTGTATGTAAGCTTTCTGAAGACCGAATTCGTAGATCTCAGTATGAAGTACCCGACACTAGCTACAAGTTTCCTATGCATTACAAATGTTCAGATAGAGAGCTGGCATTTCACTGACCCTCATCACTACACAGCTGACACGAATATTACTTAGCCTCGTACTCGATACATACGCCTGCCAGTCTCTTGATTAATCTGGTCAGCCAATCAGAACCTTAACTAGCTGCCTACTACGAATAGGATACAGATGAAATGTCACATTTACTCGCACGGGAAATCAAAGTTCAGCTCAAAGAAGTGAAAGGTGAACTGGTTACTTGCTAACCGCTAATCACAAAAACAGTTTTACTCGCATTTGAAAGTTTTTTAGGTCCAGCAACTCAACATTCGCTGCCACCTAAACCCGCAGGCAACCCACTGACGTGAGGACACAGTTATTTCGAACCGATTCAAAACAAAACCCACCAAAATTCTGCAGTACTGCAGTGGGATAACTTGAGTGGCCCTGATCGGAATATTTCCCCAATGTTACAACAAAAAAGCACACGATAGACGGTCATCAAGGAGGGGACGACGCAGTCAGACCCATTTTTATCGTGAATTCTAACGGACCAGCAGCAGACACAAAGGAAACCGTCAGATGATAAGCTGAACACACAAAAGGTGAGACGGGTCATAGTTAGCCATCCACTCGGTGTCTCAATGGAGTTGGTGACTCATAGAGACCCAGGTCAGACAAGTTAATCGATCCAATTGATGCAAGTTCTTGGATGGCCCGCTGACCAACTTCAACTCAGCAACTGGGATTCCATGACTATAAACAGTAGACCGATCGACTAAACAGAAGAGGGTACCCGGCATTGTAACATATATTTGCCAGAAATTGCATGTAAGAATGAAGCACTCATATGCACACACAGGTGAGTTCGTCCACCAAAGGCTTGCTGCTTTGTTGTCAGGTTAAACAAGGCCTAATCTTAATTTCCGGTGCCTCTGTAGCTTCAGAATAGACTCCAAATGATGGTTCCGATCAGGGTTGTTGTACCTATCTTCATCATGCCACCTGATTGTATTTAGTTTAAATTTAAGGTTATATTACTGCAAGACATCACGCCAATAAGTTAAAAAGTCAAATATAGCCGCTGCCATTTTTTGGGTACGACACTCGTACTTCTGGGAGCTTGCAGTAGTGATACATAGAGACTCCAGCTAGCTCTGATCCGCTGACGGTGAGGCTTGAGCACCACGACTCTGTCTTCGTGAAATTTGTTTTTATCTGGCAATTTGTCTTTGATGCACACCGTTTTTACGGCCTGTGTAATCATTGCCATGCCTTGCACCAGGATATTTTCGAATATACGAAACAACTGCATGCGGATTTTCCCCAAGATAGAAGATCGCTAGCCTATCGTGTTAGTTTTTCTGTGATGCCCGTATCACGCCAAATATGAGAACCAATCAGTAAATGTTGTCGTATCAAGTCGGTGAAAGTTTCCTTCAACCACCATTTCAATTTATTCTGTTTGCCTGTCAGGCCGTAATAATCCGTAGGGTCTGGATCTATGCGTGATAAACATTTAGCTGAAATTTTTTTTAACAGTCCCGTTCACGTGAAGCTTATGGGCACACACTACTCAGATAAATGTGAGGTGGATTTTATTCCAGACAGGTATAAACCGAACACGTGAGCTGTCTCCTTTGTCGTTTGTACGATTTGGGCGACCAGACAGTTCGTGTGTGAGCATTTTCAACGTGTCCTAGAAGTCAACATCAGCCAGGACGACAGAAATACCGTATCATGGAGTCTATTGATTTTTGTTATCCGCTGCACCTACTATTCTCGTCATCCGAAGTCGAATGTGCCGATTTTTCTTGCACATTACACTGCGTCGATTGGGCAAAACGCTCACTTTAGCTAACTCGGACTAAGCTGCCGTTAACGAATGAAATCCTGGTCACGTGACAGCACGCGGATACTGACCATTAGCTCTTCCCAGCTCAGTTTGACAATATACACCTTCCTAATAGAGCCATTCAAGTCGGTGCAAACAAAGGGGGACCCACAAGTATATCAGCCACTAAAATAGCAACGGCGGGAGGTGGCGGGCAGATGTGCCCTTCTGCCTGAAATAATTCATTGTTTCCTATCTTTTTCTGGGATAACGTAAGTTTTAAGTGATACTGAATTGTCAGTTTCATTAATAAATTGAAATGATTGGGGGAAACAGTACAGCAACGTTGGAAAAGTATGGTGTTAATATCTGCAGAGGAAATCACTTTTTCAGCTGCAGTCGTAAATGCTGAGGCAAGTCATTTGTAGTTGATACTTGGTAGATTTTGGTTGCCAGGTTTTGGGTGAAACTGTGAAGTGTTCTGTTCATTCTTACAACACCAAACCCACGGAAATGTTGGTGCAGCATAAATACACTTCAGCAGTGACACCCTCACATCTTATTAGATGCCCTCAACGCAAGTTGTATCCCCGACCAACTGGTAAAAACATGTGAGGGCCAGTGTTTGCTGACAATCACTCATCATTATCATTCGCAGTGATCGTACCGTTCATCTTTCAGGATAACGAACGGAAACTCATGAACCTTCGTGAGCATTTGTCTTGCTGTATTTGTCCGCCCTTGTGTAGTTATCCCACATGACCTCTATCGTCTCGTCCACGTCAACTATGTCGGTGCTTGATATTATCCACTACGAACCATTCAACTATCACGTGCCATGTCCAGGAGTGGCTCATACTCTGAGTTCCCAGCCGATTGCGTTGGTTTTATCTAAGAAAAGTCGAAGACTTAACTAACACGTCGGCAATCACAGCATCCTAAATTTCATAGACGCAACTTACTAATCATAAGGATGCTAAACACTCTTCAACCTAATGAGTAGTGTGTTGCGTCTATACAATGTGTTTCTGGATTGGCATGTGGTACCACCTGAAACATGAAGCGGCCTCGTGCAGTACATTCAGTTGAAGGAGAACAGCATAAAGGAGAGATTTAGCTGGGGTTCAGTTGCGTCACCCTCAGAAACCAAAATGAGTGTATTTCGCCATTGTGATTTTTAAGTCTAATCAGAATAAACGAGTTTTTCTGCATGAATCATTGACTAATTTATTTCCGTTTACTTTGGTTCCATTACAACGACAGAACGGTAGCTTTGGATAGTCTGGGAGACTTCCAAACCATAATTTAGAACAACACAGATCGACTGAATAGTTCCTACCTTTTCTATACCTGTTCATCAGACTCAGATATCTAGATAAAAGTACTGAGATCGATAAGATGAAAGACAGTCTCATTCCTAATTCAAGTCAACTCTGAATTGGACAGCAAACTAAAATGGGGTACTACAGTCAAGTGAGTAGCTGGTTACATGATCGCAAGCATCTGAATGAATCGCTCTTGAATGCACTGCTGTTTGTTTGAACAGTTGTCTGGTTTGAACCCCACACATAGCTCCACACAAGAAGATCAATCAACATTTATATGCATATGGATGTGTCCTGATGAGACATTTTCTCGTTCAGTTATTTTTTTTTACCAGTGAACAGCTTGTTCAATTCTGTTCGCGTTCGTTGTTTGTCCATATTCCGTGAATTAAGTTCATTCTCCAACCAAATGTTTAGCGATTTTGTGGAACAGCTACGAGGTGTTTTTTTTTAAACTTTTTACGCACATTTCGAGCACACGAAAAAGGTCAAAACTGGACTCTTGGTAGAACCAGGAACCTCGCTAGTAATTCTTCTAAAACGTCATCTGCAAGACACTATCATGGTAGCGTTAGAGCCTGAGTCAGTCCACTTGGAATCTACGGGAGTTAACAACGATAAAAACGATAAAGGCTCCATTCCGCGTTGTTTGTGCTTTCTCAGCAGGACTTGAACAGGTCCTGTGTGAACAAGGCTTTGCAGACAGGTTAGTAGTCGGCACCCAAGTTACATGTTTCGCGGACGAGAACCAAAACGGCCCGATGCTTTGCGAAGAGGGTGCATCTCAATTAGCCAATCACGTCAGAGGATATCGGATGGTTTTTGAAAGCCATGTAAACCTAACCAATGAGGAGGAGAAAATACCCCTCAACCGTGCACTGATGATGTCTACTGGTTGTTGATCAGGTGGCTGTTGATCTGTTCGCCGAGCTTGGCAATTGGCTTGCAAACGTTTCGTCACCATGCGAGGAGACATCATCAAATATTTCAACAAATTATCAACTGATGATGTCTCCTCGTCTGGTAACGAGACGTTGCAAACTAATTGGCAAGCTCCGCGAACACATCAACGGGCCCCCTGACCATCTACCAATGTTCCCATACCCTTGGAACCAAAGCCAATATTTTAGACGTCGAGCACGAAAACACCCCTAACTCGGTCATTTTTTTATACTGGATTAAGCTCATAAAAATAGAGCATATGGTCAAAGTGAAGAAGAACCGACTGGTTCTAAAGGCTCATTACGTCTTTTCAGCCAAAACTGGTAAAAAACGTCCAAGTCACCGAATGCAGACCTAATCACCTCAGTAGAAACAGGGCATTAAATTGTATCCCTTGTCCTAGAAACGGTACGACTGAGTTGTCGGACGCCACCAAACCCGTGCTGGTCTCGATTCGTTGCTGATATAACTAAAAGTCATTTTTTCTTGTTCCGGTAAAGAAGGGTAATTCTGCCGCTTTTTCACAAACGTCGAAACAGGGCTGTGAATTATCGACCAGGATCCACATTTATTAGGCTCATTCGGCATATAGGTGAGAAACTGACGGGACGAATTTAAAAGTGGTACAAGTTGTTCGTCACTTGTCCAACGGAAGTCAGCTGCAAAAATCCAATATCGCGTCAATAGGGGCGAAATGGGTGAATTGTTGTGTGACTGTAACGTTTATACTTATATATATCTTTATAAATATATCTTATATATATCTTAGAGTTGAGGATTTTTTCAACACTGTCACAAAACCCACGTGCATACATTGATCCGATGAATGTCATCGGTTGATCTTCCGATAGTCGCAAGACATGTTACGCGATGAATGAGGGTTAAAATCGATGAGCAATATGAATATTTTTAACGGATGACATACTTTACTGTGATGTTTTTGTCTAGTACTAACTGGACAGACGTTCGCCTCAGATATCCGACTGGGTGGTCTGAACCACTTTTACCGTTGAAGTAACCTAGACAAGTGAATTTTGTTTTAGACTTTCCCAGCTGGTGCTGATACCTTAACGGGATGTGCATCGGTTTCTCCAAACAGCTAGTCGAGACGCTATACACGTCACAGTAGGCTATTTGTACTCACAAAACACCTATCGGCAGCATATCATAGCAGCCAAGAAGGACAGGCGAGCGAAGCGCCTAACCGACCGATCAACGCGCTCTTCTTTGCAGGTCGAACGTAAGGACAGGTTGACAGCGCCCGGACGGCACTGTGACGGAGGGTTTGTTGTCTGTCGTTGGTGAACCACCCGATCATCATTACACTGGCTTAGTCTCTTCTGCAATCTGTCATGTCATGAACTACATACTCTGTCGACCGCTTTGCTTCACCAGCACAAAAACTGCAACCTATTGGGATGGAACTTGCAGTGCATGCATAAAACCAGATTTTGTAAAACAATCCATGAAAAATACGTGCCTAACTTCATCTAAACAAAAGCCACAACAGTTTAACCGAAGCGGGAACAGTCTACGAGCCGTTGCGTTAAGGAAACATCCAACTTTAAATAGATCTTGTGCATGTTGTTTTCTGCCAGATGAATAGCACGTAGCAAAAAGTCGATCAAGTTGAACCCCGTGGGGATAATAAAGACAAGACATCTGCTCACAAGGTTGCTGAAAACTCTTCGACAGTCCACGACCGGTTTCGCCCTTCTTGGGGCTCATCAGGTAGGCGCGGTCCCCGAGTTTCCATCAACCTCATGTTCTACTTGTAGTTTCGTTCACGAAAATATACTGCAATATCTCGAAAAGTCTCTCATAAAAACCAAACTGATTCGCAAATGATTGTATTTCTCAAAAAACAAGACAACCTTATAACCGAGGATGCATATCAAGCATAATCATTCACCCAATTGACATGAGCCGATAAGATAACGCCATAGTTTACACAGCCACCCACTGATCCCACTTGAGGTGCCGGAACATGCCGACCACCACAGCTTGGTAGCAATCATGTTTTTCCCGCGTAGCTTCAAACTGCGACTCGATACGCGGTGCCGACCGATGAAGATCACAACCTTTTACAGCAACCATCCTGTATCAATAAGGAATTTCTCAACTAAAATAAAAATCCCGTCGGATTGTTAGACCGTTTCCCCGATCCCTACAGCAACAAATTTTGCAACGCGTCAACCCATCATCACTAGTTCTTCTCCGATATTTTCGCTGGCCACCTCGTTCAACTGAGCTTGTTCCATTTCATCTCACCTCAGACTACATACTTACACACGGACAACGGTGCAGCCACAAAACACTGGTTTATCGAAATGTAGGAATTGGTGGAAGAACAACAAATTAATTATCGCCTAGTTTCAATCCATCTCCCTGGTTATCTATTTTGGCCTCGATCTCAAATCACAAATAACTAGCTATTATCGCTTTACTCCACGGGGCGACGGGATATTATTGTGAACCTACCGTCTGGGGGTGTTGTTTAGGCTTCATCAGGAGTATTTAGGCGTCGATTGTAATCCGCTCATGACGGTTATTTTTTATCGGTTTGTCATGAACTACCATCGGATGAAGTCAAGGAAATGTATGAAAAGTGTGAAATTGTGCAAATGACAGAAACGATAAATCGGTAGGATGTATGATCAGCATAGCCAGTACACTGTTGGGCTAACCTAGATTTGTTATGATTGAATAAGAACTGCCTTAGATGCTTCTCTGAATTTGACAATATTCCCGAAACAGCATTGCTCCCAAAAAAGGAAGCACCTGAATGTAGAATCCAATTTGCGAAACACGGTCCTTTCCCATTCCCTTGAGGAAAGAATCACACCCAAACGACTAATTCACTTCCAAGACGAGACACTACGATGGAGCTTAAAGCCCTAGACATATCAGATGACTATCGCTTAAAGAAGGCGATGTCATAAGCACAAATGATATGCCAAACTTTCAAACTGGATAGCTCTTAATGACTAAACTGGAATTTGCTTAGCTGACCAATCAGCCGTCGTCTCCTGGGACATTCCGGAGTTGAAATAACACATGGGAGTAATGCAACTGAACGATAGGATGAGGTAACACAAGATAACTCAACAAGTGTCACGTTTCCAATGGTGTCCATTGCTTTGCTGTTGTGTACGAATTCGTATTCCAGCTAACCTACTTAGGTTACGCATTACAGATATATATATATATATATATGTATATATGTCATTTAAACTGTAGGGGGCAGCCTACTTTAGTGACAGGTTTTGAAGTGTAGGCAGAAGCCACTATTATGGTAAAGCTGTTTTCGGTTAAAATAGCCTTTTAGCTGACGCCAACTGAATAGTTACAGACTATTAAACAGGGTACCAAAACCCTTATATGCATCTCATTTACAAAAACTGAATAGCCATCTTCTCCTCGAAGGCGTCTTCCTAAAATTTCCTGGATATTCGGTGACTGTTGCACAAATTCAAGCAAATGCGACTCCACAAATTCCGTAATGGATCTCACTTTTCAAGAGACGCGAAACGTATTTATGAGAAAACATACTACTCGCATGCCCCATCAGTAGTATCCACTGTTGCACCGGTTGCGCTGGTAATGGTCCAGGAGCTTCTCCCAAATACGAACCTAACACGATGATCAAAGTACTCTCTTTCACGCAGCAGCAGCTGACTGGCTGGCTCACTGGCAACATCCCTCCAGTCTTTGTAGGAGGCCAGGTCAGTGCTACCGGATCGCAACCTACACCACAGCAACAGACACCGTCTCCAATCCAACACTTTTTGGCCACTGGCAATTTGCCGCCACTCACCTCACTTCATCAGCAGCGGAGCCAAACGCAACCCACTCTGGTTCATCTTAATCCTGTTCTGATTCAGAGAAACCTGAGTGCAATTTCTTTGTCATTGAGGAATGCGAGTCTCTGACAACCTGTGAGCCCAAGACCCGATAGATTTCCCGCATTTAGTCAAGGTATTAATTCTACCAACCAAAAAGACATTCATTCGGGCTGAGAATAAAGCTTCTGACCTCTTATTTGGTGAGAAAGTGCCGTACTGACTAAGCTGCATCCTTTGGCCTGCTTGATCCGCTTAATGCCCCGCGTAGATATTTGTTCAGCCTGATTTCCTTCACTGGATCGCGTTTTCGAGCATAGTTCATTACTCAGTACCGTCTGTAGTCGCTTCCAAAACTTCACACGCTGGCATAATTAACTGTTTTCATTCCCATTTTTTTTACCTAGATCACACATGTACGGATATCACGTGAATCCGATAAACATATAAAATCATGTGCTTTGTTATGAACAAATGAGCCGCATACGAGGCGTTCGATTTGTGAATAGCGAGTCGATGTCCACGTGCCATACTGAACAGGTGATGTTAGCTGAATATTTAGAAACTGAGTCTAACTACTGAAGTGAGGGAGGCGGAAGGCGAAGCTCAAGCTCAACGAAACTCACTCCTAGGCCGCGCCAGGGTCCAAACTGCGGATATCTGACATTCGAGGCGAGCGTGTTAAACCTGCTCCAACAGGGCAGGCTTGAAGCATCTGAATTTTCAAGTCTAAACTGGCGAACGTGTTCACTCTTAAGTGATATCATTGGTTTGCCCGACTCCTCGATCAACGAACCAGTAATTGTTTTGGCTGTTTCAGTCAGGACTTCCTAACAGGTGATGTTAGCTGAATATTTAGAAACTGAGTCTAACTACTGAAGTGAGGGAGGCGGAAGGCGAAGCTCAAGCTCAACGAAACTCACTCCTAGGCCGCGCCAGGGTCCAAACTGCGGATATCTGACATTCGAGGCGAGCGTGTTAAACCTGCTCCAACAGGGCAGGCTGGAAGCATCTGAATTTTGAAGTCTAAACTGGCGAACGTGTTCACTCTTAAGTGATATCATTGGTTTGCCCGACTCCTCGAACAACGAACCAGTAATTGTTTTGGCTCTTTCAGTCGACTGATGCGCCTGTCAGGACTTCCTAGTCAGGTAGCTCCATGGTCCCTTGAAACCTGATGAACAATATTTTGGTTAATTGTAGGTGTTTTCCGGGAATTGTAGGGTTCAGAATCAAATTACAATGTCACGTCCAGCGCTTCCGCCATTTGGTGTGATCTCACAAGAACAACTAGGCCAGGACTAGAGTACGACTGTTCAAACGCGAGTTGTGAACTTTAACTCTACAAATCCAGAAAAACACCTACAATAA